GGGGGGGGTTCTCATATTGAGCAGCGGGCAGCAAGCTGGGACCACGGTTCTAGGCCAATCTGATCGCTGACAAAGAACTAAGATTAAGAATCAGGGCCGAACTAGTTCATCTCCAAAACGATCTAGATCTCGTGTAGTTAGAAGCGTAATGAAATCTTTACAAATGTACAAGGTGACCACCGTATCCCTAGAGATTCATTCAAATTTTGACCACACCTGCCAAGTACCAGCGTCTGTGGTGTAGTGGTTAGGAACTTTGCTGTTTCAAGCAGTAGACATAAGTTCACTTTCCGTATGGGGAGAATTATCGAGTACTCTCTAATGTAGTGGGACGTCGAATCCCTCTCGCAACCTGGATTGGCCCAGGCAGGCAGAGCCGAACTTAAATTTTATTCATGTTAATGGGGTGTAAAACGTTAAAAATTAATTTCTTTATTTTACTTTACATTTCACATTGACCATAACTGTGTTTGACTGGAGAGTCAGGGCAGAGGACAATGTTCAAAAGTCAGAGGTGGCATGACTTGTAAGTGCTTGTGTGAATGGAGAGAAGCACAACCACACAAAAACAGGTATGAAGTAGGCCTACAGAGAAAGAGTAAGACAAACACAGAATTAACGGAGGGGTACAGACAGAGTAAGGCAACCCCCCAACAAAAAAAACACACACCAGAGGTTTTGTGAGACTGTCTTTTAGGCCTTTCAACAAAGTGACATGTGTGTCTCTCTGTAGTTTCAGAGACTAAAAGAAATAACTACACATACAAAAAACTCCTTTTAAAAAATGCATGATTAAATCAACTGCTCACGGAAAAACTGTCATACGGTACTTTTCAAAATGGTGAATAGCAGAGTCTTACACTAAGCAGTCGAAATAAATAAATATACTGGAAAAGTAGCCAAAAAGTTATTAGGTTCAAAAACACTTTTAAGAACAGGAAAAAACAACACTGTCATCTTAACTTATCAGACAAGTAAAATTTATTGCATCACATTAACAAACTATACAATACATGGAATTTATGCGACAGAATGCCAGGTCTTTTTCCATAATCCAAGAACCTTAAGGCTCTTCAAGGGATGCCATATATTTTCATTCACACTGCAAACAACTTACAAGGGTTTATATAACATCACCAAAAAAATTGACAAGTCTAACAAAGATGTTAAAATTTGACAAAAGAAAAACATAAAATTGACACAAGAACAACAAGTTTAATGAAGAAAAAACAAACAAACAAGAAAGAAAGTCATCACATTATTATTATACAAAATTTACCTGTCTAAAATCATCCATCGTCATGTTACAAAGAACTGACAACACATCCTCCGTGGCATCTAATTATAAATCGGAAGTCTGCAATTTGAGCGATGAATCCATCGCCCCCCCCCCTCCCCCCACCACCTTTACTATAAATAAAAATTATAGATAGATAAATAAATGATGGAGTAATAATAATGATAATAATAATAGCATTTTATATTGTGCATGTATCCATGCTCTATGCGTTTTACAACTATTAAAACATAAAACGAAGCAAAAATGCAATATAATCAGAAAGTACAGCGAGGTTCAGGAACATCAAAAGCAGCACAATGCCCATAGATCTAGTTCTATAGCGATTGTTGGTTTATGTATTTTGAAAAAATTAAATAACGTAGGATCCATACTGCTGTTGTTATTGTTCCAGATGAAACACAGTAAACATGTACATAAAAATAAAACACTATACATGGAATTCATACTACAGGTGCCCTTTTACATATTCCAAACATCAATAGGCACAGTAAGGGATGCCATCTGTTTGTCATTTCTTCCCACAATGGCACAGCGAACAAACTTACATGGGCTACTATTATAAAGAGCTATCCACACATCATCCATCATGACATAACGAATAATGACCCAACTAAAAAGAAGATTTAAGTTAAGCTGAAGAGAAGTTCATCAATAAATATGATAACGACCTTCAAGGTAGGGAAAGAGTAAGACACTTTTAGACAGACAGATAAACAGCAAGAACAGAGGAAAATAAGAAAAAGGACTAAGACCTACCAGTCATGCTCTCCAACAATGTGCAGATTTACACAGTGTACGCGATCAAATCACAAAGAATTGTTCAGTCAACAACCGTCCACCATCACATACAAAGATCTGAACCGTCAAAAAATTCAGCCACCACATTACAAAAAAACAGATCACGCTTAACACCATTCATAATCACATTACAAAGTGAGGATCAGACTGATTGCATCCATCATTATTTCATAAATAACTTAGGAATCAGGAGTGCAACAGTAGTACCAACCATCTAGCATCATAACACACATTTTTGGGGGTTGATGCTCTGCAATAGTACCATCCCCTCCCCACATTCCCTCCCCACAACAGTAGCCTACACACATTTCAACACCGGTACCTTCTTTGTGTGGTAATAGGCCTACCATACCCCCTGCCCCACAAAAAACAACAACAAACATTTTTTTTTTAAATTATAAATTAATAAAACAACAAGTCTACACATCTCTACACTAC